GTATAAGTCAGTTTTTACCTTTTAGAGAGTACTGTTATTCCTATAAGGACTCTTACTGTTGAAGGGGATAAGGAGGTAGTTTTGTTTTAAAATCTTTTCGATTTTCTATTACTATAGTTCTGGTCATGGCATGTTGTTACACCCATTTTATATAAAACCCTGCTTGTCCATTAATGTATTGACCAGTCTCTAGGGGCTAAAGCAATCATTTAAAAAAAAGAAAAAAACCCTATTTTTAGTGACCACCTAAAAGACGTTTTCTGTGTCTTGTACCATTTGAAGCAAAAGGGTTTCAGCAGTTTAGTTAATTAGAAGAAAAAAATCTTGGCAAATGACTGGCAGAAGCTATTCTTGCAAAATAAAGTAGCTGGCAGAGCGCTCCTGATTACTTAATGTATTATTAGAGGTGCCACCCTGTTATATTTATAGTTCTGTAGATTACAGCATGCCATATTTTTAGCAGCAATATCTATACATAATCATTCTCCCGAACACTTTCCAAAGAGAGGAATTTTGGAGGTAGATGAAAAGTGCTCCTAGAAGTTGTGGAAATCTGAAAGATGCCTCTAGGCATTCTTTTCTTTTTTTCTTTTTTTAAAGTATATATTACTGAGTACATTTCAGAAGCACACAGAGAAAATTCATCTTTGGAAGTATGGAATGGAAATAGAAGTATCTATTTAATTTGTATTCTCTTAATTTCTTTCCTGTCTGTCCCGCTTCAGAAACCTTTTCCACTGAGGAACTGTGTGTGTTACCGAATGGGAGGGATATTGGGAGGGGATGTTGTCTTTGGAATTGGAAAGAAAGATGACAGTTCAAAAGAGCAGTGTTAACTTGTAGCATGCGTTTCTGTCTCCTAAATACTCCACATAGTTACTGTCATGAAAAACAAAGTTGATGGTGACCAGAAAGAAATAAAAGATACTGCTGTATTGCACTAAGAGTTTCAAAGCTGCTTCAAACCTTGTGACACCTGCTCTCCCTTCTGAGGGGAATGATTGGTAAGGTCCTGTAGCCCTGCATCTGCCCAGCACTTTACTCCAAGCCCTCATACCTCACTCAGGTTAGGGCTGGCAGCACTAGTTCCTTCCATTGCACCCTGGAACCTGGTATTTCTGCTGCGAGAAATGAGTGAGAATCTTAATTGGTGTTGCACTGCTCTTGTTTGGAAGTGGGATTCCCTTTTAAGAACCATATAGGGCTCTAAAAAGGGGTTATAAAGATCTGTTTAAAATATGTGCCAGCACTATTCTATTTCCCTTTAGCTTAAGTATTAGGCCTGTGCGAAGCAGCTAGTATACGCTTTGTATTCAGCTGATTCGGAGGACAGTGATTTGACTCGGTGATTTGAATCACTGTCCTGTATTGATTCGGCCGAATCTCTGAATCAAAAAGGCCCCATCCCCCACCTGCTCTCTCAGCCCTGTCAATGGCTGCTCTGCCTGGCCCCAGTGTCCTGCCTCCTTTAAAAAAACAAAAACAAAAAACCTCTGCATTCACTGGATGCTGCCAGGCAGAGGGTGCAATCCCCGCTGCCTCCCACTGCCCCACACTGTGTGGTGGGCTCTTCCATGAGCCCCCAGAAGCCCCAATGGCCGCTGTAGCATCCAGTGAGTGTAGGGCTTTTTTTTTTCCTTCTTTTTTTAGTGCCAGGATGCTGGAGCTCAGCAGGACAGCCATTGATGGGGCTGGGAGAGTGGGCAGGGGCTGGGGCTTGTGGCAGAGCCCCCACCCCAACAGCACGGGATAGTGGGAGGCAGTGAGGCTTCCCCCCCATCTGGCAGGAGCCAGTGAATGCAGGGCTTTTTTTCTTTTTTTTTTTTCTTTTTCTTTTCTTAAAGAGTCAGGATGCTAGGACTGAGCTGCGAGAGCGGGCGTTGTTGGGGGGTGCTCATGGGGCTAGGAGCGCAGGCAGGGGATGGGGCCTGGCAGGGGTCTTCCCATGGTCACCTCCCCCCCCCCACTTTACTGGCACAGAGCCCAGGTTCAGCTCCCTGTGGTGGTGAGCAGGGACCGCCTGAATCTCTGAACCTTTCTCTGAATTGTCTCCGAATTGATTTGGAGGCTTCAAATCTATTTGGACCTTTTAATTGGTCTCCTGATTCGATTTGGATTCGGAGATTTGGTTGCTGAATCCTGCGGGCCAAATCTCCTCTGAATCAAATCGGCACCCGAAGCTTCACACAGCCCTATTAAGTATAACTGAAATGTTTCTGGATTTACACTTCTTGCAGTAACTTCCAATATGACTTCTCTCTCTTTTTGTGCATTGAATCTCAGGGAGAGAAATTAAGCATACCAGTTTTTAAAGTGTATTTGAATGTAAATAATCAGATTGTATCTGTATATCTGAATGTGAATGGACTGATTTTTCATGTGTCTACATGAGAGGTTTGGTTATATGAATTATGTTTATTCAGTTTCAGTTTTACGAACACCTTTAATTTTAAATATTTTACAATCTTAGTAATAAAAGGTTAATATTTGAAAGAAAGACATGGAAATATAATACCTCTTTTAGGCAAGATGCCAGTTGGCATTTCATAAAATATAATAGAACCAGTGTAGAGCAATTTGTAAAACTTCTGGATAGGTATTTGTAAGGCTCTCAACAGACTACCTTGTCATACGCACTTTTCTTAGCAGGTTCATCTTCAATAAATATTCACTGCTGATTCTTTTTATTATTATTTGGGAAGTCAAGGATCTGCCTTTTCAATTAAAGGGGCTGTAAAGAATGATTTTGAAAATGAGATTCAGGAAAACTGTTATCCATTATCTGATATCTTAAATTTCTGGAAAAATGTTGTTGATGGAGGACAGATGGTAGTTTGCATGAACAGTTATATCATTATTGTCCATCTTCCACATATGCACTATCTCTTCATGGTTGTGTGTGCATAGGTACATGTACACGTGTAAAGTAATTTAAAGGGGGAAAAGAAGAGAGCCTAAAGTTAACAACTTCTAGTTTTGCCTTGTGTTATAGATAAAATTAGGGTAGCGGGGAGAGGGGACTCCTCCCTGTTGAAGCATATGATAACCAAGAAGATGAATCTCTTAATTTTTAAGAGGCATTTGTCTTTCAGCACTTTAACGGGCATTCCTTGGAGGCACAGAAGAAATGATGTCATTTATACACTTTAAAAACATTACCTTTTTGGCATCCTTCTCTGTTTTTTTGTGTGTCCCATATATGGGAAACTAGCCTCACCCTTCCTGCATAGAAATCCTATGGAAAACTTAAAACATATACTTCTTCACTTAGATGTACTCTATTCTTCTATTCCCTGTCATTTTAAATTGCTCCAGAAAACTGCCTCTTTTAATGCCTATGGTCAGCAAGTCATTATCTATTTTGTCTCAGGAAAACCGCCCTCAGAAAACTAACCACTTAAACATGCGCACACAGTTATAAATCTTTGTCCTATTCCAGTTTGATATTCAGATGAGTACATTTTAGGGTTTGATCCTAAAGACTGTGCATGTTTCTTGACACACACCAACAGTTATATTGAAGTCCGTGGGACTATTTGTTGTACTAAAGCCATTCAAATGTGGGTGTTTACAGGGTGAAGTCTTTGGTGTATTTGCGTTTAGAATCAGGGTTTCTGGTTTTTCTTTCCCTGTTGTTGAGCCTTTAGCCCACCTGCGAGCTCTGTTAATCAAACATGTATCTTGTAATCCTAATATATGTTCTAAAGGGAAAGAACTGAGATTCAAATAATTTTGTGGGAATTTCAGTGTTCTATACTGTCTTAGCTTCCTGCCACTGCAGCTGAATGTTCATGTGCCTAAATATTAGATACATTCAAATATTGATCTATCTGAGCTAGGAGTGTGTGTGTGTGTGTGTGTGTGTGTGTGTGTGTGTGTGGTGGAGGAGGGGTGTTTATTTTTGTTTTTTACTGGGCAAACAAACAAAAGTTACACATCTGAATAGGCGACTTCCCCCCACCCTCTCCCTCCCGTAATGCTAATGTTAGTAAACAAATATCAAATTCTAAGGTGAAATTCTAATTTCTAGCTCCCCAATTTTGAAATCTAGTGCTCATTGGTGGCTTTTTGACACACCCTGCTAAAAGATACAGCATTTAACTATCTCTATCTAGACACTTTTGGAGCAGTGTTTGAGTAGTATAGTCACAGTTACAATGCATTATAATTAAAGATAGGAAGTGGTGTTTATTCATTATGCTGTTTATAACATTCTTGAATGTAAATATAGCATAACTGAAAGCTTATTGCAACTTTGAGGTTTCAGTAGATAAAGTGTTATGAAAACACTGCCTTTGCTTTGCTCTTGCATTAACTTAACAGGGCTGTGAAAGGATTCAGTCTAACAGCAGAAACTTCTCGTCCTACTTTCAGGCAGCCTACACTATTAGCAACATTCTTGACAATGTTAGGGATGACATTAGTAACTAGTGGGAGACCTATTCAACCATGCTAATTATTGCAACAAGTTGTCTTATTTCCAAAATATGTAAACATTACAAATTAAGACAGTAAATTTTCCAGGAAGATTTATCAGTGTGAAACTATTGATAATATTCATATTTCAAAGCTAACTGTCAGCAATTAGGATATTTGCAATTAATATATGAATGGTGAATGCCCATTGCTTAGCTACAGGGAAGTACTTCATCCATTTTTTTTTTAATCCTTAAATCTTTCACATTTTATAGTTAATCCTCTGATCTTGGGGAAACCATTTGTCTTTTTTTCTTTTAATGATGCTTCTCAACTTGGAATGGGTCTAAGGTGCAAAGTTTATATCTGGGTTTGAATCTCTTTGAAGTTTAAGAATTTCTAGTTCCAGTGTGGTTTTGGGGACCATTGTTCTTTACATGTGCAAAGATTAAGGAAAAAGAAATCTTGATTATATTTTCAAGAGCATGCCAGCAAGTGGTGTGTACACATTAAAAGTATATTATTACAGGAGTATAGCATGTATATGATTAACATACAGATCTACCTTTTTTTTTAAATTTTAGATTGCATCCTCAGATTTGCGTTTGATTATGAGCTTCAATATCTGAACTACTGCATCTAATATCTGGTCTTATCCTGTCAGCAATTTTATCTTTCCATCAACAATGAGTTCCACAACACAGCCAGGTCAGTGTTTTTAATATTTCCGCTCTGTAGGATATTAGTATACATTCATAAATTGCCAAATTCTTTGCATGTCTCTGTTCTGAGATGAAATAGTTGGTGAGTGACCTGTGTGCTAGCTGCATCTAACAATATTTGATTTTCATATAAAGTGAGATAAGGGACTTCGTATAAAGAAATGCTATTGTCTGCATACCTCATTTGTTGGATTACCATCTTAATATGATTCTGCTCTTCTTTTATATTTCCATATGATTTGTTTAGGAGCTAAATAATTATAATCACAAATAAGCATTCTAAGTGTGTTTTTGTTCCTAATAGTTATATTTCCATGCGTTAGACTGTTGTCGACCATCAAACCATGCAAATGTTTAAAGACCCAAGTGTGGAATATGTTCTTCTGTCACTTCCTTCCCCCGCCTCCCAGTATTTGACCATGCTGTCATATTTTTGCCGCTTTTCTTCTTTTATAGGTGTATGGTTAGTTACTTTAAATTTCAGCACCTGCTGAATATTAATGCCAACAGAATGAGCTACTTCTGGTTCATTTGACAGGAGGCGAGTGGTGAGCAGTCATTGCCAAAGCCAAACCTTTTAAAGAGAAAAAACATTACACGTGAAGCACACCTAGCCTTCACTGTTTTAGGGAGTGCAAGTCCCTGATTCAGATCTGAATAACGTGCCATATGGTTCACACTCCATTCACCCACACTTCAAGCATCTATTTTTGTTTTGTTGGTAACATAGCCCTGTACAGGTGGCTTACTTCTGACTGGTTTGGCTTTGTGCAAAAGATTTGCATAAAAACCTCAAGAAAGACATTGTAATAATTAGCTGTAGTCTTAACTGAATATTTTTGCTAGATATCTTAGAACTCAGTTAAGGAAGGTACTTCAGTTTATGGCCTTGTGAAGAAATGTCATTTATATTGTACTGAAAACTGCATTTCCATTAGCAAAAGAGTGACCTGAATCTCAAACTTGGCCCCTGTCCAGATTTCTTTTTTGCATTAGCGGTGAATTATCAGGCAAGAGCATGAATGAGCTGCAGTCAAAATGGTGGGCATAATTCACTTGAATGAAAAATATGCTTGAAATAATGAAGGCCTGATTTTAATAAACCAGGCCCATATTGTTTGGGGTCCAAGTAAAACAAATTTATAGATAAGAAATAGATGCTCTGAACTGTGTGGTTAAAGCTCTTGTTAAAGAAGGAAGCTATTAATCCATAAAATGCACTATTTACTGGATTCTTTCTTCTCTGTTTTGCATGTGTTCCCCCGGTAGTCGATATGAAATAATGACTATTTTTTCCAATATATCACTTTACTGGATGTCTTAAATGTTTTCTATCTTGAGTTGAATCTTATTTCTGCTGTAACTCCATTACAGTTGGAAACTAAGTTAGTTCCTAATGAAAGGTGTGAAATTCCCCCTTGTTATTAGAAGGAGCAAGCTTATAGGTACCTATTCAAATATTTGTATTTTCAGTGCCCAATGGATCCATTAATATTAGCAATTGTGTATGAATTTGACTCTGTTGCACTGAATGTTTTGCCCTTGATAGTCCAAAACAGGAACTCTGAATTGTTTTTAAAAAAAAGGCTCTTGCGAGTGTTTGTATTTATGCCTCCCATAAAATAGAAAAATCTTTCCATTCTGATTAGTAACATAGAGGATTTTGAAATTACAATAGTAATTTAATCACCAGCTAACCATTTTACTTTGACACAAATACTGCTCTGTAAAATTTATTTTATGGCAAGAATGACTATCTCCAAAATCAAGTTGCTGTTTTATTTTAAAATGCGTTGATATCAGAAGAGGAAGCAGTAGAGGGCACTCCAGAGGTCTTCCCTGGTTTTCAAAGTCTGTGGATTTGATCAATCTAGGAACTGTTTATCATTGCCTACAATCATGGCATTCAACTTGGAAGAATGAAAATAAAACTATGGAATACCTAGAAAAGTACATAACGATGATGTTGAGAAGATTTTATTTCCTCTGTCTACTTCGAAGATAGAAAAATGAGACAGATGCTTGATGGAAATGTATTTGACGGTAACTATTTTGTACAGTTAGTGTATGGTTTAGTTGCCATTTCAAGAACTTAAACCAGTTGATGTATTTGAACACTGTAAAAAAACACATTGTTCATTGCTATCAATTCTTAGTCCATACAGATGCCAGAAAATGGCTTCTTCATGTTTACCTTCCATTACATATGTATATGGAATATTTATCTATTCTAATCTTTCTATGAATTGATGTTCCATCCTTTTCAAAGAGACTGTAGCCCACCTATTTTTATATTTTCCTTCTTAATAATATATAATGGAATTAAAAGAAATACTGTACATATTTATGTTATAGGATTTAGTGACTCTTGCATATCTCTACCAGTGAGATATCATTTTCTCCCTCATCCATACTGAGTATGTGCACTATAAGCCTACAGAATAGGACATATAATTGTTTATAAAATTGTCTGTTACTTCAAAAGTGCATATCCAATTATCTTAGAGTTAAGGAATTCCTCAAGTTTTTTTGTGGCATTATACATAATCGATACAATGGGTAAAATCCTGAAGAAAATGGAAAAGTTCTCATTGACTTCAGTGGAAGAAGAATTTTGCATTGCTGTCTTCATTACACACAAACTAGTTTTAAAAGAACATTAGTAAGGTTGCAAATTCAGGTTAGGAAATGCAGGGATGTGTAGGGGAGGACTATGCTTTCTTGATTATACCCTTTATGTATATGCATTACGATAATCTGTAATTACCTGGTCGTATTTTTCTACAGGGGAAAATTATTTTATTTCCAGGCACAGAATGGTCACTTGATGACCATTCGTCATTTTACTGTGGTGTTTGTGTGACAGTGCCGTATTTACTGGCACTAGTCAAAGCCTATTCTACAGACAGACTTCTTTAATTTATTCATGGGCTTTTCTGTGGTACTCATCATTCGATATAGTGCATTACCACAAATCTTGGTGATATATTTTGATAACCCAAGCTTATGTCACTAGTAGGGGAAGTGCTGAAGGACCAGGGACTGAAGGCAAAAGGTGTGCACAAAGAGGGGTTGTTCCTTAAGGACCTGATCCTTGAAGCACAAAGGAACCCATTTCCATGTGGAGAAAAGGTAACAGAAGGGCTGGGAAGCCCTCTTGGCTAAACAGGGAAATCATGATCTTCTTAAGAAAGAAGAAAGAGGCTTATTTAAACCATGACAGCTTGGGGCAGGCCCCAAGGAGGGCTATTCCATGACAGCTCACATTTGCAGGGAACAAATAAGAAAGGCTAAAAGTGGCGACCAAAATTAAATTAGTAACAGGAATCAAGGACAACAAGAAGTCCTTCTTTATGTACACGGGGAACAGGAGGAAAAAAAAGGTGTGTGTGGGGCCATTGCTCAGCAACTCAGGAGAGCTGGTTACTGACACCCAGGAGAAAGCTGAACTCCTGAATCACTGCTTTGCCTTGGTCTTTCAAAGGACCAAGGGGAAAACAACATCAGGTAGAGTACTGGCTGAGCATAATCACCTTCATACTATTGTTGTAGAACTGGTGTATGACCAATTACAAAAATTAGACATATACACGTCAGCAGGACCGGATGATCTTAATTTGAGAATGCTGAAGGAGCTGGCTGAAGTCATTGTGGAACCCCTGGCGAAACTCTTCCATAACTTGTGGCGCTCTGGAGAAGTCTCTGAGGACTGGAAGAGGGCCAGTGTAATCCACAAGAAGGGCATGAGGGAGGACCCAGGTAACTCTAGGCCAATCAGCTTAACTTCCATCCTAGGGAAAAATCCTAGAAAAGTTCATTAAGAAGTTTATCTGTGATAAGCTTGCAGAAGGTAAGATTCTGAATGACAGCCAGCATGGTTTCATCACAGGCAAGTCTTGTCTTACCAACCTCATCTCCTTCTATGACAGGGTAACTCACCACCTGGACACAAGAGAGTAGGTTGACATTGTATACCTTGACTTCCAAAAGGTCTTTGATCTAGTATCCCACAATGTCCTCCTGAGAAAACTGGAGGATTGTGGGCTTAACTCTGAGAGTCAGGTGGGTGAGAAACTGGCTCCAGAATAGGACCCAGAGAGTCGTAGTGAATGAATCTGTGTCATCCTGGCAAGAAGTGGGCAGCGGTGTCCCCGAGGGGTCGGTGTTTGGTCCAGTACTTTTCAACATCTTTATTACCAATGTGGATGGTGGGGGTGAAGAGCTCGCTGGCCAAGTTCACGAACGATGCCAAGTTATGGGGAAGCGTGGTCATGCTTGATGATGAGTCTGCCTGTATCTGTAGCCTAGACAGGCTAACAAGTTGGACAGATCGGAATCTGATGAAGTTCAACGGCGAGAAATGTAATGTGCTCCATCTCAGGATGAGCAACCCCCAACACACCTACAGGCTTGGCGGCACCAAACTGACTAGCACCACGAATGAAAGGCACCTAGGGGTAATTATAGATCACAGTATGAATGAGCCAGCGGTGTGATGCTGTAGCAAGTTGGGCAAATAATAATCTGGCATGCACCAATTGAGGCATCTCCAGGAAAAACGAGGAGGGGTGATTCTTGTGCTCTACTCAGCACTGGTGAGACAGCAGCTGAAGTACTGCATCCAGTTCTGGGCACCACACTTTAACAAGGACATGGACAAGCTTGAGAGAGTCCAAAGAAGAGCCACCCATATGATCAGAGTCTTACATGGCAAGCCATACGAGGAAAGGCTGAGGGATCTGGGACTCTCCAGCCTGAAGAAAAAAAGGCTGAGAGGGGACCTGGTAGCAGCTTACCACTACACTAGGAGAGTACATCAAGGGCTGGGTGAGCAGATGTTCACCAGGGCACCCAAAGGGAAAACCAGGAGTAATGGCCACAAACTCCTGGAAGACTGATTCAGGCTCAACATTAGGAAGAACTTCTTCACAGTCAGGGTGTCCAGACTGTGGAATAAGCTCCCTCCAGAAATGGTGCAATCACCTA